GCCGTGGTTTGGGGGCTGGGTGAGAGCCCAGAGGGTCTGGGCCGGACGGGCCTCAACTCCAGAAACGGCGCCATCCGTGTGTCATCGTCCCTTTTTTTTCTTGGTGGTATTGTTCAATGTTCCCTGTGGAGAGAAAAGGTGCTAAGGCAAGGTATTTGCTGTGCCACAACACGCACCGCTTGGCGCACCCGCACTTTTGTTAGGTTGGCTGTTAGGTCATGGGCACTGGACAGATTGAGACCAGAACTCAGGGCCAGAGAGAGAGAATTGAGTTGAGGGAACCCGCACTGCCCTGACAGAGAGCATCGAGCATCGTCCATTCTCAGGGTAGCTTCCGTGGTGGACTTGTCCCGGTCTTGGGTTTCTTGCTGGCTGCAAGGTACGCGATACGTAGCTACGCAAGCCAATATTTCGAGGAAAATGAAAGTACAGACGATTTCTTGTTGCTGTTCCTGGCCAAGGAACTTTTACCGGGCTGTTGTTGCTCTACTCGTTTACAAAAGTCCCTTAGTTGTTGTTTTTTTATTTTCTTCTATTTTCTTACTCACTCTACTCAAAGCATCTATCTGTCCATTATTACGCTCTCTCTCGGACTAGTTATCAGCATCCTCGAATGAGAAAACAGACACTCGAACTGATTGATCAACTCGCCAAGATCGAGAAGGCATCAAGAAACAAAACAAGCTTGGCAACGACTGCAAGTAACGGTGGGATACCGCCCTTGTGCTCCGTCCTCCGTACCCCGGGCCACATTTTCCTCCTCCAGTTTCCCCCCCTTGGCCCGTCTGTCTGTCTGCCTGTCTCTTCTGTTATTTAGCTCCGGCTTCAGCAGTGTTCTTCGGTTTTCCTACACAGGCATTCCTATTTGTAGCTATACGGAGTATCCGTACTACGGGCAGCATACATACTTGGGTCCTTTCCCTTGCCATTTCTTCAACGCGCGATTACCCCCCGTGGAATTTCTTCAGCTCGTATTCCCAGCCAAGCTGCAACGCCCGGCCTCACCATTTCCTGTTCACCCCGAATCAGCCGTCACTGTCAAGTCGTCCCCCTTGGCTGCTCTCCCCCGGAACGAAGGAAAAGAAAGGGAAGAAACGGAGACCGTGATAAAAAGATACAAGGCCGCCCCCTTCGCCGCACCCATCCGAGAAGGTATTCGCCCATCGGCCTTTCCTTCCTTCCCATCGGCCTGCACTGACCCTCGGGCCCGTTTCTTTCTAGCTGCATCTTTCTCCTCCACTACGGTTACGGAGTACCTACATTTGTACGGAGTACATTTGCAATCCAATTGCCAACAGCTTTAAGCTCACTGTCGTCGTCCACCACCGCAAATCCCACGACCACCACAACTTTCCTCCTTCTCTCCCCTTCCTCATCATCCTTTCCATTCTTTCCACTTCCTCCCGACATATCCGCCATAACTCAACTCCGCATTTCCCTCTTTTTCCAAATCATCCCTCTCCACCCAACGCAGAAAAGGAGAGACGAACGGATTACATCCCACGGCACCCACCTCCTCAAACACCCAAAACATTGTTTACTGGCACGTCCCATTTGTGTCGCCTTCTCCGCCCCCCGACGCTTTGCTACCTGCTCCCACCCCGATACGACCCTGCGACGTACGGATCCCGAAAAGACGAACCCACCGATCGCCACTATCGACAACACCTCGTCCAACACCCTCGATCGCAGCGCGCGCCCACGATATTTTCTTGGACCTCTTCTCGATTTTTTCGACGCCGTAGTGCTCGACGTCGAAAATCGATTCGGACGAACCTCGATCCGCCTGTCAATTGACCTCGGGTCGCCTATCCTCCCCCCCCCCCCGACGACCCTCCCGCCTGATTCACAACCACAACCACAGCCATGGCAGCAGCAAATCCCACCAACGTTATTCGGAGGTACGTCGCCTATTCGATTCCCGTCGATTGAGAGATTTGCCAGTCCGCGGTGCTGGCTCAGCCCTCGGCTTGCCACGCGCAAAGCTCGCAGCATCTCTGCCTGCTTCTACCGGGCAGGAGCCGCCTGATCTCCACGCCCTATCTATCTGTCCTTCGCTTGCTGACATGCTGCCTTCAGGAAACTCGTCATTGTAGGGGATGGTGCTTGCGGAAAGACTAGTTTGCTTAGCGTCTTCACACTTGGATATTTCCCTACCGTATGTTCAATTCAATAATCTTTCCCAATGGTCTGATCTCAAGTCTCAGGATCTTTGCTAACAGTTGGTGTTTTGCAGCACTACGTGAGTACCACCAGCGACTCCTCTCGCCTCGCCCGACGATCGATGTTCTAACGAAATTTTGACCCCTTAGATTCCTACCGTTTTCGAGAACTACGTCACAGATTGCAGAGTAGATGGAAAGTCGGTGCAGCTTGCGCTATGGGATACCGCTGGACAGGAGGACTACGAGCGGCTACGTCCTCTGGCCTACTCCAAGGCCCACGTCATCCTGGTCGGCTTCTCCATCGACACACCCGATTCACTCGACAACGTCAAGCACAAGGTGGGTTTGAAAAAGATTGAGGCACTTCATGATAGTGGGGCTGGGCAGCTGACAGTAGGCTATAGTGGGTGGAAGAGGTTACCCGACTCTGCGAAGGCGTCCCCATCATCCTCGTCGGATTGAAGAAGGATCTCCGCGAAGACCCCGTAGCGATTGAGGAAATGCGAAAGAAGTCGATGCGCTTCGTCACACACCAAGAGGGCGACGCTGCCGCCAAGGAAATCGGCGCCCGGAAATACCTCGAATGCTCCAGTTTGAGCGGCGAGGGCGTCGACGATGTCTTTGAAGCCGCCACCCGCGCCGCCCTGTTGACCTTTGAGAAGGGCGAGGGAGGCGGCTGCTGCGTCATTCTGTGAAGGAAGCAAAGCTCCATCACAACCACCATTCACTATTCTGCCCTTTCGACCGACAATGAGTGCAGGCACGACGCAAGCGAACTGAGAAAATCCTGGGCGAACTTTTGCTGGAGAGATCAGGCTGGATCACAGAACCATGAGAACGCGGCCGACCTTTACTACATGTGAGCATTACGCCGGGTCCGATCCAAGAAGCGCAGGATCAGCCAGCTCCCACAACCTTGAGTGGGCAGATGGCTTACCCAAAAATGGCCCTGAACAGGCCTGGGTGGATGTCACTAGGTCGGTACATACCTAACTCTCAGCAAGCTCGCCTGGTTCACACACCCTTTACAACAATCGCAAAAAAGCATGCGAGTTCAACTTTAATCCACACTCTCTTTTCTTCCCCTCAAGCGGCGTTACAAACAGCAGGGACAGCGCAAAACACTCAGCGGAAACGTTATTTATGGAACCAAATCTAAGGGACTAGCCCTTTTTTTTTCTTCCATTGTCTGTATTAATAGGACAGCACCCACATAGAACGAAACGCACCCAAAAGTTCGAGACTAGGAAGCTGGTACTGGGAGCTTTGGAGTATTCACGTTCTGCTCCCTGTCAATGGGAGATGGCTGTCACTTTACGCAATAAAACTGATTAAAAGTTTCAAAACCTCTGATTCAGAGCCTTTCCAAAAACAAAGATTAGTGACGTGTGACTTTTTTTTCTCTCATTTTTATACACTAGTTCATACAACAGATAGCATGCTACAGCGGAATTGACACTGGGCGTGTCTAGATTTTGGTACACTGCTGGTGAGCAAACTCCTTGACACCTTGTCCACCACCTTTCATCCCATCCACCCCCCTTTTTGTCATCCATTTCTTACCGCAACTGCTCGTACGCTCGTGCTCTTGCAACGACATCATCTACCGCTTCCACTCGTGGTTCCACGCCTGCCGGGCAGGTGTCTCGCTCTGGTAGCGCGCGTATTCAATAGGCACGGCATTGGGTCCGTAGACGCCCTTCTTCTCCTGAGCGACACGGTACAGCCACCCTTCCTCCCTGGTTCCGGGACCAGCGGTGGTACGGAGCTGCTCGTTGGCGGTGTACATGCTCTGCTGGATGCGGAGGAGCTCCCTCTCGCGAGCCTCGCGCTGCTGGCGCTGGAGGAGGAGCCAGGCGCGGTGGATGGTCCAGTGGCGGAGGTGACGGTTGCGAGCCATGCGCAGTGCCGGGGGCGCCTCGGCGAAGAGCTGCTGACGGATGTTTGCTATACGGGCGACGTATTCGGGGTTGATGATGTTGTCCGATTTCGATTTGCGGGCGGCGAGGGGGGTTGTGGTTGAGAGGGAGCGGGTTGTCGTGGTGGTCATTGTGACGGCGGCGGGTGTTGAGGTGGTGAGGGTTTGGCGGAGGCCGCTGCGGAGAGGTGCGAAAGAGGCCATTGTTGTGATTTTTGGGGGTGTTTAAGCTCAGATAGTCGCTTGAGACGAGGCTGTGATATCAATCGTTGAGGGGATCGGAAGTGGGAGGTGTCGGGCGGTGTTTAGGAGGGCGGCCTCGTCGTTTCTTGAGCGGAGGTTCCGGATCTGCGGCGCGAGGAGTCTCCTTCTTTTCTATGCGCTGCTGTTGACGACGCTTCTTGCGCTTGGATCCTGCGACGACTATCTCGGATTGGGTGTCGTCTTCAATTGTGGCCGGGTGATCGACTGCAGGAGTATATTCGACTTCGGGTTCTCGGTCGTCGAAGTACCGTAGTCTGATTCGGTGGTGCGCGGTTACGACCTCGTCAGAGATCGGAACGTTGGTGAACACGTCGTGGTAGTCGTTTTCGAGGGAGAGTTGTCGCGGTGCTGTTCGAAGGAAGAGGGCGCCGGCGTCGGGGTGGTATCTGCCCGTGTACTTTGCGTAGAGGGAGTGGATGGACTACCGGGAGGATCGTCGTTAGTAGGGTGAAGGTCTGGCGATGAAGCTCGGTGGGAAATTTTGGGAATGGGGAAAGGAAAATGGAGGATGGTTTATCCGGGCTCTGCAAGCTGGCTTGTGCCTGCAGGCGGGTGTGGATGGGATGGGATGGGGGAGTTGAGACCCCTGCAAGGCGTGACATTCTAGCGGGGCCCTGCTCAGACAACTTGGAGCTGTGCAAGTCATCCGCAATCCACAATCATCTACACTATTCCCATTTGCCATGTAAACCATCCTCGACGACAGGGAAATAGGAAGAAGCTGGGGCCTGGGGATTCGGAAATCTTTGGCGACTTACCTGGCAGATTGATGCATCATACACCAAAGCAACACTGTACTCCTTCTGCTCAAAGACGAGTTCTCTGGCCTCCATTTCGTCCTCCACTTGGTGTAATCTCGCAAGATTATTCAGCACTGCACCAGGCGACACCGAAGCTGGACTCCGATTGAATGACAACACTCTGAAGAGGGGCTTGAAGGTCTCAATCAGACTTGCACAGTTACGAGTTGTATCTCTGCACCAGAGCCCGTCAGCGTCGTTGTACATGTCCCAGACGAGCCAGGCAAACTCTCGTACGACTGGGCTGGCGTCGAGGAAGCGCGCGTATGTCGCCGGGAAGCCCCCACTGAATCTCAACATCCATAATGTGCAGATTCTCAAGAGGAGCTCATCGGATGGGTCGTCGACGCGTTTGAGCAGTTCCATGCACCCTGCTGGAAAGTCCAGTGTCGAAGAGGAGGAGGAGGCGGAGAATGCCATGAGGGTCACGAGCTGTGCGAGAACCTTTGGAAGGATTATCTGCAAGCGCATTACATCCTCCATGGGGTCGCGGGGGACTCGGCCACGATAGGCGAAGTTTCGGCCATCGTAGGAGAAGATTGGGTCTCCCGCTGCATGGCCAAGGAAGTACCTCGTGTGTGCCAGCGTCTGGGCGACCCTGAGTATTTTACTCTCTTCCGCGGGCCCCTCCTTCTCCTCCTGCTTATTCAAACTCGTATCCTCTCCGGAGACGACGGCGGTTGGCGAGAACGGTCTCTCGCTAGACAGTACAGTCGGTGGACTGGTGCTCATGTCTAGCTCGAGCCACACCTGGTCCCAGTGGGCCTCGTTGTGGCACATATCCATCTGTACCTGGAGATGGTGCCGCTGCTTCTGAAGCCGCAGTGCCGTGGGCTTGACAAGCTGTTCATCGGCTCTCCATAATGGGTTCGCGTCTGGGTTGAGGTGGTCCACCGTGAGGCCCATATGATCCCAGAGGTCGAGGATAGAGTCCTCGAGAGCAATCTGCTGACTCCGTGAGACTTGCAGAGCTAAGAGCGCGGTCTTGCAGAGGTCGTTGATATCGGCCCGGGTTGTCTGCCAGACGCTTCGGAGGCCGTGCTTGTCGAGAAAGGCGTTCCAGCTCCGATGGAGGTCAGCGTCTCCTGGAGGTCTGTTGAAGGGACCTGGAAGACCTAGGGAGGACATGCTGAAGTCTGTTAGATGGTGGTCAGTGGATCTCGGCGTAGTCACTAGTGTAGGCGATGGCGAATACGATGCTGATGATTGGCGAGGATGATGATGGACGAGTTGACGATCGAGCTGATCAATAGTCGGCTCTTTCCCTAGTGAGTCTACATACATCATGGATTAGAGAAGAAACCATCTGGGAGATGTTCCCTAGGCATGTTGTTTCGGAGAAAACTCATGCTTCGGAGAAAGACCATACTTCCTCTTCTTGCCTTGCTATGGATGGCCGTCAGGGCACTCGATGACCTGTCAGTATGGCTGACATCTGGCACCGAAATGCCTCCGTCGTTCCTATTAGCTCAGATTTCTCAGTCATTGGTCGTCTTCAACTTGATTGCAATGCGAGTTTAGTCTACGGTTCGACTGATCAATTATGAAGACTAGGCGTGCTCCCAGCTAGATCAGATTGTCTACAACCACCATAAAGAAGGCCAGCTCCGCCTTCGTCAACGGCACAATCTTTGACTTTCGAGAACTAAACCTACAGCAATGATATTCAACGATTGTTTCCTGTAACCAAGTGTGCTCTCCTGTCTATGGCTAGAATTGATATCAATGACCCCCTCAAGGTACGTAGCATATTGCAACAGGGCAGAGTGAGTGCCAACCTTTTGAACCTCGTTAACCTTCATTTGAGGTTCGTATGAGCAGAAAGTTGGTTTGTGGTCCTTGAGAAAAGCATCGCATTGTCATAAGTTGGACGTATTGCATGGGACTTTGATGTCTATTCACACCTTCAAAGCCTTTTGCCAGATCCATATCTCGAGGTCAGGCTTAACCAGCCTTTGCTGCTCTGGTGCATGCAATGCCAACAATGGGCACTTCAAGCTGATGATCGTAGCTCTAGTCGACTTAGTGTCTGACCAAAGCTGCCATTACATCTAGCGTCTTTCCGATGCCGACAAACGGACGTTCTTCTTTGGTACGTGCGGGCCTCCACAGAGCCGGTTTGCCGGTGCCAGCTGCCTGCCTCCCCGCATAACCCACCGGCGCACCTATTAGTGGATGCGGACTGATGTCGTGATGACCGAGGATATAGCTCCCATTAACACCACTCTTCCATGTCGCCATCTATGCAAACCAAAAAGCCCGCTTTCTGAAAAGTCAATGTTTCCCCTTCCCCGATTCCCATTCTTGGAAATCAAGATCTTAACATTTCCCCGAGAGAAGTTTGGGGCACACATCCCTGACTGGGAGCAGCACATGTCACAGAACCTGCAAGAGGGCGTCTTGCTGAATTATTATTTCCCGGATTTCTTCCCGAAGCCGCTCCCCCACGATCGTGATTCCGTGTCTCCCCGAGCCGGAACTTGAACTACCACAGTAACTCATCAAGACTTTTCGCTTCGGACCAACCATGGAGCGTGCTCTCAACGATGCAGAATTCCTGACCGATTTGACGGGAGGAAACATGGCAGTCGTACGATGGAAGCACACGCCAGACGCGTCAGACTTTGACGATGCTGCGGCGTTTGAGATCGTTCGTAGGGCCATCATGTCAGAGATCAACGACCCGCAGAGGCTCCGCAAGGTCGCGGTCGAGATTGCTGCCTTGTTACCGGCATATCGGCCGTCTGATGATGTTCTTAAGTCTGTGTGGAAGTTGTTTGTGGGGTTGGCGCAGCAGACGCCATCTGGGAATATTGCGATGCTGGATCTGGTGGTGATTCTCGACCATTTAGCTCTGTCGCCTAGGACGACGGCTACGGTGACGGTGGTGAGTTCAAGCGTGGATATTCATGTATGCTGCTGGCGCTGATTGCTTTGTAGGATGGCTTCGAGCAATTAAGCCGTCTTCACGGTCTTGATCAAGTCATCAGAGACTGCATGGCCTGTAAGTCTACACTACCAAAGCTGAAGCAACTCTCAACAATAACGACCTTACTCACATGAAGCAAATGCCTAAAAGCACCGTATCAATCAGCCAACAGGATAGAAACCCTTACCCGCTGGGTCAACCTCAACGCCTTCGCCTCCCTCCTCTGGTCCTACAACCTCATCGACGGCCGCGACCACGCTGTCCGACAGCTCCGCACCGCCTTCGAAGACCGCCGCTCCTCAGACGCCAGTGATCGCGACGGCGCCGACGCCCGGCTCATGGCTGCTGCGCAGTGGGCTATTCACTCGTGTCAGCGTCTGTATCATCTCTCCGTGACGTCTGAGGCGACTTCGCCGGCGGAAGAGCAGCAGCAGACGACGAAGAGTGAGGGGACGAGAGAGCCTAACGGGAAGAAGGCAAGAGAGAGCAGCAGCAGCAGCAGCAGCAGTGCCGAGAGATGGAGATGCGGACCACGGTTCAAGGGCCGAGCGGGGTTCTCGTTCAGGAGGTGGGAGTTTTGGCAGCAGGCGTTTGAGGAGGCCAAGGAGTTTGGGGATTGTGGGAGCGAGACCAAGGTTGAGGCTGGGGCGGCGGCTGGGATGATGGAGAAGGTTCTGTATGCTGGATTTGAGGTTTAGAAACTTGACGATCGTGCTGGGTTTTCTAGTGGTGGATTTTGCAACAGGCGGATGGCTTTAGGGACCGGATTTGCGCCAGGAGGCTAGACTGTTTACGAGAGATCTTTAAGTCTCGCGAATACATCGTTCTTGGACTGGGTATTGGGAATTGGGGACTAGAAAACTCCAGACGGGATTCTTACAGGGCAGTCAGGGATGAGATCGAAAAGTCTTGTTGGGTAAATAACGTCTTGGTCTTGAGGAGCTTAGTTAAAGATATCGAAGAATGAAAAGATTGTGTGCTGATTGTGGCTGTCGCTCAGAGTCATCTTCCAAGCTTGTAGCCAGCCAGCTTGACCATCTTCATTACTCATTGATGTTCTTTGGTATGGAATATAGCCAGATCATTAGACAACAGATGAAGGCTGAGGAAGTCATGTACTATTTCTCTCCTCACTCCTGTAATATCCCATTTACCCTCTGCTACCAGATCACGTGTTTCCATCGGCAACTTTTGCGAGGATCTTTCTGCCTCCGTCATTTCCTGAGAACTTCTCTCATAGAATGACTGTGATTCACAAAGAATTTTGGTGTTTACTCTTTGATATGCTTCTGAGCCTGTTCAGCCTCCTGATCTGCTATGTGAGGGTACGGCCGAGCCGTGGTGAAGCAAACAGAAAACGGCACACTACAACTTGACCAACCACTTATATCAACAACCAGCGTTTGTAAACTTCACTTTGATTCATTCGGCCTGCAGAAAGCCGCTCCTCTTCTTTTCTCTTCTTTTTTGTCCGAGAGATCTTCTTTCGCCGCATACGACACTTGTCAGATTGGGGAAAGTTCCTTCCTCTTCTCCTTCCCCTCCTCCTCCTTCCTTTTCTTCTGAACCTCCAGAAAGGCATCCTCCTTCTCTCCTTCTCCTTTCCTCTCTCTCTCCCCACCTTCAACGTCAACCTCCCTTCATCAACTCTTGCTTCCCTACGACTAACTCTCAATACTTACAAAATCAAACACCGAACGCACCCCTGACTGGAAATTTGCAAACAAGGCCAAGATAGACCACTCTATCTCCATCCACCACGCCGCCATGACGAACTCCAAAGTCGACAAGCAGGCTTACGCCGCCGGCGCCATGTTAGCAGCCGCCAACGCTCAGCGAGAGGCTCACGCCAAACGGTCCGTCGCCAACAGAACCCCAGCCGAGGCCCTCCGCGCCCACATCGAGAGCAACACCGTGCCCACCGACATGGACGTCATCGAAGCCTTCCGCTTCGACTGCGTCTTCACAAGAGCCGACAAGCGCAACCTCCTCGTCCTCTACAGCCACCTCGTCCTCGACCACGGCGTCTCCACCTCCGCCATCCAGGGCTGGATCGCCGAGGGTAAAGAGACCGTCACCGCCCGCATCGAGGAGCTCTTCCAACCGCATCGCGACAAGATACCTACCGTCCGCTCAACCATGGCGGAGAAGTGGTACCGCAAGAACCCCTACGTTTTTGACCACGTCGGCGGCAGCCCCACCGCGGAGGATAGAGAGAAAGATACGGTCCTCCAGGCGATTCTCTGTGGCGCCACGCCCGGAGAGAGGATGGCCGGCGGCGTCGGTGCCACCCGCGAGGTCGAGGCGCAGATGCGCCTCGTGGAGGCGGATATCATGGCGCGCGCAGACAAGGGAGAGCATATTGCCTACCTCATCAGCATGTCGCAGATGGCCAACGAGGCGGTCGTATTCACCCCTTGCAACAGACCTCATAGCGACAAGCTGCCGCTGGAGATTAAAATTGTGGAATTGACTCCTGATGGCATGTGTACTGGCGTGGTCCACGTGGCTGCGTCTCTTGACGAGGCTAAGGAGTATGTTACAAATGCGTACTATGAGGCGGAGAGAGTGAAGTGGGAGGGAAAGCAAGCTGTCGATGGTAAGGGTAAGGGTAAGGCTTGTGATGGAGAGAAGGCGCAGGCTAAGGCTAAGACCAAGGGTGGGCTTGGATGTATTGAGGGCATGGTGTCTTCGCTAAAGGTCGATGATGTTGATTGATGTCTCATCTGGTACGCTCGTTTCTAGGCATCTCGTGGGTTTTAACGCTAACGTGTGGTACAGACAGAGCATTGTGAGCCATTGCTCAAGTGCAATATTCGTCACCCTTAGTACATGTGAAGGATGGGGCAGAACGTGGTTGACTTGAGAGAAGTTTGGGAGACAACTGTCAGGATCTGTGGAGATGTTACTCTGCTTGAACGGATGATTGATATGAGGATGTAAAGGAAACGTAGCGGAGACCTTCAACTCTCTCAGAAACCATTGGCACATCTGGTTAAGCAATTTAGATAGAGAAACTCAAGAGCCCGATTCAGTCAGTTGAGCACAGTTCTCTCTCTTTGATCAAGTTAAGTAAATCCCTACACTCGCACGAGTCCATCCACCCGAGTGTGAACACTCAATGTGGTTTTTTGGCATTGAGTGAGAGAGGAACTGCTAGGTTTGCGAGTTTCCAAAGCAGGAGCACATCCACAACGACTGATGGCAGTGAATGGACGTGTGAAAGAGAAGTAGAATGCCTTTGCAAACTCGCCAAATGTTCCTCGTATACTATAACTCGACGAGATGGGTACGAGGGCCCGCCTCAAGGGGTGTTGCCAGGGATGGGAGCAGCGAAGAGAACTGTTTGATATGAGAGCAGCTTTGTCCGATCGGGCTGTTGTCACCTCGCTTCACGGAAGGCACTGGTCGGCCATGGCATTTCAATCTCTATTATTCACTCGAGCAACACAGTCAAGTGTCATGAAAAGGTATCACCTAGTCGGCAGGCCGTGACACGTCCCGCACCTGTCGCGGAATCTGCTTCATTGCACTCTCGCCGACACTTCTCTACATTGTACTTAAATGACACGGACAGCAGTGTCATAAACATGGGGCAGAATAATGGTCTCTGACGAGATGGACAAGTTGTCTTTTGGAGAATGGAGGGCCTCGCTGGAGGCGGCGGCAACGGGTGTATTCTCAATCATATTGGAGACGAGTTTACCCATCGTGTTCCGCCGACTGGCCGGCAGCAAAGGTGTTACGGTGGCGTTGTATCAAGGGTGAAATATCACAGTATACTACACAGAGGGAGGAATATACTTTGTCGGTAATCAGATCCAAAAGAGAGAGGCGGACACAAGTCCGACGGCCGTCAGTGTAAGTGAGTGATGACACGTTCTGTTTTGGTCCCACTGTGATCAGTTCAAGACCGTAAAAGTGTCGGGCAGTTGTCGAGCGTAGATGAAATGCGCCGAATTGAAGAAGCATCCGAAGAAGGTCCCTTGGCAGAGTCATGCGGCGGGCGATCCCGAGATCTCAACGTCAACGGGCTGGGGATCGAATTGTATCAGCTGCCAGACCCTAGAGTGGCCGGCCCTGTGCCGACACTAACACCGAAGTTGATGACACCGGACTTGATTTGATGGACGTTGCACATTGCCAAGAAGTCTCGCCCAGTAGCAGACAAAAGTATGTGCTAGAAATTGGCAAGTACGGATGCACCGTCAAAAGGATGCCCCCAAGCGTCTCCAACTGGTAAGCCGGCGCCGAACGCGTTGCGACTCGGAGCTGCCGCCGGAGTTTGGCCGAAAGACGGTTATCTGGGGAAAAGAGGACGAGTAAGATGGTGTTTGGTTCGTGGGTGTTTCATTGTCGCATTGCGTTGGGGGCTGTGCAAGATGAAATTCGAACTCGAAAGGGTGGATTCGAGGCTCGAAACAAGTCGGAGGTTGGGAAAAGACCGCAACTTACATACACTGAGCGGCAACAGTGAAGCTGCTAGAAACTGCGTCAATGGTTTTCTGGTTTGTACTGCTAGTCATCCCCAAGCCAAAAACTTCAACGAATGTGGCATCGCATGTTGAGTTAAGGAGCTGAATGTTATCTTTGGGAGAAGTCCATCGCTTCACCCAATGTTCGAGGTTCATGAGATGACACCGACAGTCCACAGACTATATCAAGAAGCTGACGGGTGAGACCAATGCGGCTGAAGAACAAGCGCGTTCAGCCGCTCTCGAGTTGGTGACACGAAATGCGATGCAACTGGGCGAGGTACGCCTTGGGGGCTTCTCTCTTGCGCACTGAGGGGCGGAAAGACGACGGGGTGGACCTGATTTTGATTCATATTTTTACTTTGCCGTGTTGAGCCGGGACAAGTCATGAGTCGGTATCCTTTTTCTTCGTCTTGCACGTACGGAGCATGTACTGCGTAAGCCATTGCTGTGAATGGAAGTCGTCGTCGTTGTTGTTGTCGTCTCCATGGTCTGAACTCCCTGCGCATGAGTTTGTACGCAGTGTGCGCAGCGAGTGTGTCGCGGGATGGAGCCCGAGCTTTTTGTCATTCACATGTGTCGTGGCTGAGAGACGTGGACGATGGCTATCGGGAAGGCCCCACCCTGCCGTCCAATGGTGGGGTCCGCCTGAGAACCCTAGGCCTGAATGGGTTGAACTGCCGCGGGAGAAGAAGAAGACGGAAAAGAATGTGTAATTGTTCACTGTAAGACACGACCATGGCCCAGATTGTACGAAGTACTTGGGGGAGAAGAGACGATGGCGACGCCGACAATAAATTAACGCGGGCAGAAAAGGAACTCTGCGTGAGGTTGCGTCATTTGTCTGCCGGATCAAACATTGGGGTTTGTTTCTTCCCGCTTGTTCTGTTGGAAAACGAAAGCCCAGGGCTGCTGGCTGGCCTGGTCTGGCCTCGTCCTGTTCGAAAGCGGATGTCATGTATTATCATTGGCCTACCGGGCTTCCTGACCGTGGAAAAGCAAGCCTGGCACGCATGGGTTACAGGCCTTGTAGATGGAGAAGATGATGGAAGCCGTGCTAATGTCATTCTCGAAGTATTGAAAGATGAACGCTGGCTGAGCAGATCGGGCTGATTGGCTCGCAGAATTTGGAAGCCACGCAACAGTGCTCACGGCCAATCCGTCGAGATGAAGAACAACCTGCAGCGAAGTACTGCTTGCGGTAGTTGCCCTGAAGTGTTTGCTTGTCCATCCACGGCATCCGGTAGACGGTGATTTGCTCGAGGTCGTTATCAAAGATGAGCCGAAAATGGACATGAGCTGCAGGGTATTGCGGCACTACTTCAGCCCCTGCAGCAGGCCGATGTTTCCCACGAGTGTGGTCACTGGTCAGCAGTCATTGTGGGTGGTGCTGTGATGAGGGTTTCGAAGTTGAGTTGGCTGATGAAGGACGAGGGGTGATTTGTCTGCAGCAGGCGTGAAACGAAGTGCTGATCCGACTGTTTGTCTGATGGACGTCTGGATTCCCAACCTTGTAGGAAAACGGCATAGATCCGAACCTAGAGAGCGAAAGAGCGAGTGATTGACAGGGTCGAGGAAGGATGAGCAGGGGTCTCTTGAGTGGGTGCACCGTTGCAGTGTTGCAGTCTTGGACCTTGGGAGGAGAGCCACACAAAGGTGTGGAAGTGTTCGTGAGAGAGAGGAAGAGAAAGTTTCTAGGCGGAAAATTTTGTGTTTCTTGATGGAAATCGGTAACCGGGAAGGACGTCTGATATCATCCAAGGCTGCATCCGTTTCGCAAGTGCAGGTTGTCCGGGGGGCATCGTTGGAGCAGAGATGAAGAGGCGCGAAATTTGAGTTTGGGGACGCGCAGAGGCGGTGCTGTCGCTAATGTGCTTTTGGGAGGTGAGCCAGCGGGGACCCGAGAGGACGCTTTTCGGATTGAGACGACGGAGAGTGGACGACGGAAAGACGTACCTCTGAGGCTTATCTAAGCGGACCTGGAGACGTGTTGCGGGTGATGGTGATGGTGATGGTGATGGAGATGTACACTGTACATGTGCGTATCACGTGGAGACACTCATGGGGGCCGCCCACCTTTCGCCAAATGTTTGACAGAAAGCAAGGTGGGAACACCAATTGGCATCTCGGTGCATCCCAGTCATCTGCAAGTTGCTGTTGACGATGGTACTCGAGAGACATAGTACTGTGAAGTTATCCAACTGTGGAGGAGAATTGGGATACCTTGGACCGCGGGGTTCGCAGCCTGGGGTGGAGAAAGAAGTCACGTCATCGCTGTTCAAGTAAAGTGTCGAGTGCGTGGCATGCTGTATCTGGCGCATGTTTCTGGCAGTAGGTAGCTATCCAAATAGACAATCAAGTCGGAGGGAACCTGCCAAGTGAGGGTCGTGAAAGTTGGAGGTGCTTTCCTCCTCTCAAATCTAAGGTACAAATACCTTGTATCAGGCAGGAGTGGGAACTGAGAAGGAGCACAGAGGTCAAGAGTACTCCGTACCTACCGACAGTTCCCTCAGTGGATAGGTAGCTGCTGCAGGTTGACGGTTAGGTAGCATGGGTGAGATGTACCCACGTGCTATGCTAAGTTCCTTCTCTTCGATGTCGCTGGATCTCTGCGCTGCAGACTGGCAGAGATACTCGGACCACAAAGAAGCGACATGGAGAGTACGGATGCAAGGGGTCTTTCCTTGCTTTGCAACTGCCAGGCTCCCCCCACGCTCTTCCCCGATGATTAATTCCCTCCACTCATCAAGCTTCGCTCCCACCGTCACTACTCCGTCCAGTGCGTCCACTTCGGGTACTCACTCATTTCCGTGACACAGTCGCACAACACAACATGAACAGGAAAAGGAACCTTCATCACAATACGAATACACGGCAGAAAACTGCCACAGCACCGCGCACCGGCAGCAAGGAGCATAAGCCGTGAACCATCATGCGATGATGCGATTCTTTACTCCGCAAAGAACAGCAGAAACAAGCAAACACGTACGCAAACACGCAAACAACCCACACCATCTGCCGTCGAGCCGCCTTGCACTCTCTGGTCGCACTTTGGCTTCGCAAATTCGAGGCTGGCGCTGGTCTTGCACACAAATCACTGACCGCCCTGCTCTGTACTTTGCAACGCGCAGCACTCACTCTCTCTCTCGCGCTCGCCTTCACGTGCCTGTCCTCGTTCTCCAGCCAGACAGCCACCCACAATCCACTATCCGTATTCCGTACCGGTGCGCAGATGGGCTTTGCTCGCTCATTGCTGGGCCGGCTGCTTGGGCTATCCATGGCCCATCCCACTCAGACCAGCCCTGCCAATCTGCTACCCTCAGGGGTCTTCAATCTTGCGCCGATGAACCCTGACCCTCAACACGTCCTTGGCCCGCACGTCCCGGCCTTCAATTGACTCTGGTTCCCTGGCTGGCACTGGCAACCTTGGGAAGTTGGGAGCGAATACCACTCGTCTGATTGGCACCTGTTCAGGTACGCGGAGCCTGCTCCTCTTTGCGGCTTGCGATTTGCGGCGTCAGCGTGCCCTTTCCCTTTTCTCAATCCCGGTTCGATGCTCGATGCTCGATGGAGCGGCCATATCTGGTTCGTCGATCCCGGCTTCAAGGCCTCAAGACAACCCTATCTCGTCTCTCTTTCAGACAGACAGACAGACAGACAGACAGACAGACAGCCAGCCAGCAAGCAAGCAACACGCAGCTACAAGTGCCTTGACCACAGCAAATGCCTCTGTTGACCTACGAACTTGCCTATAATGATTGACCTGGGAGTCTCTGGCAGGGCAGCGGATTCGATGCCGCCGACATATATACCGGCAACCGGCCCTTGAACCGGCGCAACATGATGACAATCAAGTCCGCATTCTATCCGATTCTTGCGCGGATGGAACGAACCGCCCAAGAGGGGTGGCCACGTCCAGGGGACCCTCGCAATGCTCCTGCATCGAGTGCCCATCCTCCCCCATCACGGATGCTGGACCGGATGGCGGACACTCACACATGCAACCACCTCTCCCATGCTCGAGGTTCAGGCTCTCACATCTCGAGTCACTCAGTGACCTGGCTTTGGTCAAGCCATCAATGACAGCCACCGAGCATCTACCCATGGCTCTCGACCTGGTACACATGCGCAAATGCGTACAGGTACAACCCGCAACCACAGACAGACACACTCCCAAAGACTGGCACACTGGCGGCGCTGGCGAGCCTGCAGGACTGGCCCTGCAACACCAACTGCCTTAGCCCAAAAGGGGAACCATCCTATTCCTGTTTCCTTTTTGCCTTTATCTCTGGCCCATCCTCGGACGGCTAGAGGTGGCGTCGCCCACTAAACTCGTCTCGTTATCGCACGCCAATGCTACCAAGACGTCGAAACTCGCCGGGCTGCCCGTCTGGGATCCCCTCAGATTGGCCATTTTTCCTCTCGCCGTCCTCTGACTGGATGCGACCTCTGTTGACCCCGGCTCCCAAACCAATTTGTTCACTGCAAAGATGACGGGGATCAGCACCTGAGAGATACAGTGGGCTTTTCCACTTTTCTCCAGCCCAAAAAGTGAAGGGTACGGGGGTCTTCGGGCAACTCTACGGATACTGCGTAGTCTGTGTGGGTGAGGCAGAAGAACAGAGAGAAGGGAACCCAGTGCGGTTGCTCTGTAGTGTAAAGAGCGAGAGGCACACAGGCACACGGGCAAAAGCGAGCTCGCTGCCCACCTCCGGGATGAGCATGAGCACTGATTCTTTCAAGCTGGCGCAGCCCGTCGCCCATCCCAATCCAAGACCGTCTGAACCCAGGCAAGCCAGGCTGTCAGGGGAGGACAGACTAACCAGACCGGCCGAGACAGTCAGATTGAGCAGAAAGTGAGAGCCCCTCAGTCAACGGCACACACATACACACACACTCACACACCACACTTTAGTTGGCTCTCCTCTCCTCCTGCGGCCTTTTTCTTCCCTCTTGCTTCATACTCATTACTCACTCTCCATTACTCTCTCTCTCTCACTCACCAGCCCTCTCGTCTCGAAACGACAGGGCGATGCCAGCGAGGAGACAATCATAAATCAGATTCAGGGATACTGGAACACCGAGACCCCGACATCTTGCACTTTAGCAGCCAAATAAACGCAGCCCCCGACATAGACCCAACGGCTGACTGCCTTGCACGTTGGCCCTGTCCCTTCTTCGTCCCATCCGATTTCCCGGGTCCAACAGACTAGAGGAAGACACACACATAGAGGAAGAGAGCCACGAGCTGCTCATCCTACGCTATCCAAGAAACCAGCCTCTTGGTATGCCCCGTTGGAACACACGGACAAATACTCCCGTCCTCGCTCTACGCACAAACATCAGGATACGCCCAACATCAAATTACCCTTTACTCTTGGCTCCTGGCAAGGCTCGATACCAACAGTTCCTGACTTCACGCCCGCACTAGCGAAGATCCCGTGTCGGATCACGTCAACTTGGATGCAGGTCCAGAGAGACAAGCACCGAAGCCACTCTCCCACCGTTGTTGATAGAACCAACCCTGTTCTTACTCACTCTACCGTCTACGGTACCGGATACTCTCTCTGGCTCTAATCTTTATCCCTACTCGGTCGCCCCCAAGCCCAAGCCAGCCTGGCCTTGTCACTCGGAGGCATTCCATCGCTGCCCCCGATACATAGGAGCGCCAATTCCCTCCCCTCCCGCCCTTCACAGGCTTTGATCATCCTTTCATAACTTACCTTGCTTTTCTTCGTCGTTCCCGCGTTGTGTCCAGCGCTACATCCTTGGCCCCCCCGGCCTTTTGGAAGTCTCGCACTCTCCACCCTTCCGCCCTCTTCTCCCGTTCTGACTACGATACACTCCTTTTCCAACTTCATCTTGCTACTGTTCATCCATCAAAAGACGAACGACGAGTCGATCCGTTCCGTCCCATACCGAAAATCGCACAATATAGCCATTTCTGGTTTGCCGACACTCTTTTCTCTCCATATCGACGACTTGTCCAGCGCTTTACGCACGACCGACCGACCGACCGGGGCCATGTCCGCAAATGTCTGGCCCGGGGCCGACAGCTCCTCCCAGCACTCTGGGCAGCTGTCGCAGAAAGACCTCGTCCTCGATCAGCAAATGATTAAGCACCTTCTCAACAGATATGGCCAAGACAAACTGAATCTTCTTATCCAGGAAACCACCGGCCCGCGTGAGTGACATTTGATGCTGACCGCTTCCCCGGTTCTGTGAACTAATTGGATGCAGAGTCGGATGGTGCATCAATTGTGTCGTCGGCGCAGTCATCTGTCCTGTCGGATGACCAGTCGAGCATGTGGGATACCCAGAGCATCAGAACATTCTCCGACACGTCGTCAATTACTGGCAGCATTATTTCCAATGTGTCTCGCGGCACATCGAAAATCCTGGGTCGACGGAGTGGAAGCAGCAGCGCCGCGGCTGCTGCCCAGGCCCAAGCGGCGCAACAGGCGGCTCAGACGCAGCAGGACTCGGAATCATGGAATGGAATCGACGTGCCCAACTCCTCCAACACAGCATCCGACGCTGCATCAATCTCCACCAGTGCCTCAAAACAAAAGGGGGCTTTCATGTGCGGATTCTGCAAGGAGGAGGACATCACCAAGACGTGCACTCGGAAAAATGACCTCAAGCGTCATATCGAAGACTTCCACAATGTCAATGCGCAATGGTTCTGCCGTCATCGTGGTTGCCAGATGGTATTTGATTGGCAAGGCGCCTACAAGACACATTTGAAGCAGGCGCATGGCGGTTCGAGAATGTCCCTGGACGAGGCCAAGGTCAACCTTTGTCCCCAAGTCGTCTTTGCATGCGGCTTCGACAACTGCCTGCAAGTGTTCGAAGCGCAAGGCGACTCGGACGCAAGTGCGACCTTTAAGGAGTACGTGAGCCATGTCGTGAAGCACTTTGACGAAGGATCCAACAGCGGCGACTGGTCATACTCGGCAAGGATACGGAACCTCCTCAGGCAAGGTCAGGTACAATCAGCTTGGAACGAGTCGATGTGGAACGAGGCGTCAAGGACATCTCTGCAATGGAGCCCCCAGACGTCTGGTATCTTGAGGAAACGACTCGAGTGTCGCCATGTCGGAGATGTCAAGCTACTTGTGCAGTACGCCATGATGCTCGGCTCCGATCCCAGCAGCATTGGAAAGTTCCGCGAAGACTTCGTCACCCCCGTTGCCGATACGTGCACCTTGCATATGCCTGGGCACAAATCACGACAGCCCACCATTGCCGCTCCTCCGGAGCAACCGACCGACCCCTTCTCCTTCAAGATCTCACGCGGCGCAAACCCTGCGCTCGCCGCTTACATGGCGTCTCAACGCAGAGTCTACGTTCCCAGACAGCAGCGGGTTGTAAGACCACCGCAGTTACATCACCCGCACCAGCAAGTACCTACATCGAACCTGATGGCCAGTCACTCCCGGTTATCGCAATCATCACATTCATCACACACAAGTAGCCATCACGGCCATCCACAGGTTCACCATAGCAACCAGAGTCACAGCACGTTGGGACATTTCTTCCAGGCGATGCCCGAATCACAGTTGTACGACCCTAACAGCAACGCCCAAGGCTTTGGGCCCAGCAGCGGCGCAATGCACCACAATGGAATCATAGCAGACGATATGCAGAGCCTAAGAAGCATGGGCGGCGCACCCGAGTCGACAGACGTGGAGATGCAGGACGGCTTGATGCCGGATTTCTCTTCGCCGTACGGACAACATTCAGCAAATCTGACAAGTCCATCCATCAACGGCCATCCTGACGGATTCTTTCCTCCCGGACAAGCTTATTAAGCAGCTATGCCCGGAGCAGTTTGCGACGACTCGACAGTACCAATGACACGAATGAGTGGCCAGCGACCAGCTGTAAGGCTCATGTATCAACAAAATTAGAAGCACATTTTTAACTCCAGTCCCATCTCGCGCAAGAGATGTTTTTCTTTGACTCTATTTTCAATCCAATTTCATTTGTCGGCGTTTTTCTATCAAGATCATATACCCAACATCGGTTGAACGCCATACCGGGTATGTTCGCAGTAACTACAGCCTTGGACGACATACGACTGGACGGACAACGGAAGAGGAGGATTGTACATGACAGCTGGTTGCTAGACCAGAGTCGTCCGAAAGCGTCTCGGTACGTACGAGTAGGGCTATCCTGAAGGCGGTTATACTCTTTTCAGAGAGATGGGATGAGGCAAATCGGGGAAGCAAGGACGGAATCGGGAACATAGGACGCGGCCAATGTGGAA